CAGTGTAATTGTATAATAATTCAGTTACCTCAGGATGCCGGCTTTAGAACGAACTTCTTTCCGGCCGCATACAAACACTATGCTCTGAAAAAATTACTACCTAATCAGCAGGCATTTTTCTCATTGATATTCGATGCCCTTAAAAACTCAATTATAGTTTATGGAAAACATGAAGAAAATATTAATTCTCTTGCTCGTTCTGTAGACTATTACGTAGTCTTCCAATTTTATACTCGAAGAAAGGGTATAATTCGGTTTTAAAAGGTATCCAACTATGAGATTGTTTGATACCGTGAAATGGCCGATAATGAAACGTCATGTCTCTCCATTTATCAACTTGGCTCAAATCCACTGCTAAATTTTATGAAACCCATATAGTCTCCTCTCAATGCAGTAGAGAAATGTATGGCTTTCCGTACGCGGAAGATATGCGGCTTATAATTTGCAAATCCTGAATGCAAGTGCAACGACAGGTCGGGTTCAAAATTATTTGGGAATTGGAAAAGTTTTTGAAAATAGAATTATAGCCCTTCTTCGAGCATAAAATTGGAAGAAGACTTATTTTCTACTGAATGAGCAAGAGGAAAAATATTTTTATGCATGCTTTCTATGAAATATAATTGAATTTTTAAGGGCATTGTGAATCAATGAGAAAAATGCATGCTAATTAAGCAGTCATTTTTACAGAGTGCGGTTTTTGGAGGCGGTTGGATAGAATTTCCGTCGAAAAGCGGCATCCCGAGGCAACTGAATTATTGTAGAACTATCCTGCAGGATGATGAGTTTTGCAGGCTGACTAGTTTTACAACCCTACTTAATTAATCTTTCCGAATCGATAACGCATTTCGGAATCTCGTTCAGCATTTTATGAGTTAGTCCACCTACTGTAAGAGCAAAGTACATGATTAATATTGCGGGCTGTCTTCGGCGCAGTATTTCTCTGTGAGACCTAAGATTCCACAATTACATATATTCCCGACCTTTGCATCACTAGGTAAGAAAAATAAAAAGGATTTGTAACATTTTTTCAAAGCGCAAAGTGGTCTTAAAAGGGAAAAATATGTGTGGCAACTTTCGGACAAAAACAAAAAGAGTGCCAATATGATACCAACAAGAAACAAAGAGCCGTCAGAATCGAAAATATGCATAAATACACAGGGCGGGCCTTATTTTTATTCCAGAACTACTTCTCGTTAGAGTCGAATGTTAGTAATCCCCTTGAAATTAACTTCCGGATCGAACTGTATCCCGTGCATCTGGCAACTCCTAAATTAACACCACCGTTATTTCTAAATGTTGTTCATGAGGTTACAAGAATGGTACTGGCAGAACCAACCTCAATAACTCCTTCTTATATCCGTGCATAAATTTCTAAGCTGTGAATTTCTTACGAATCCCCGAATCGTCTAATTAAAGAATATTGGTCGTACGACTGAGATTCATATTGATTAAATTCTCTGAGAGATACGAAAAAGTAAATCCGCATTAATTTGCCGTTTAACATTACCATGTTCTCTTTTTCTGTGACGTACGTTGCATTCATGCAGGTAATCAAGATGAGCATACTTTCGAATGCATCGTTTTTGGGTTGCATAATCAAACTTCGGCTGAACCATTATAGTTCAAGGAAATGAATACAATGAATAAACTGCCAAAAGTGCCATTTCCCAGCGAAAGTAAGTAGCAGCCATGTAAGCACGGGTTTCGGGCTAGTGGGGGTTCTGTTTAAGTCTTGCTCTTATTTTTGCCTAAATCTTGCATGAAAAGTGTTCGTATACGATCTTCCGGCAGTTAAAATTCAGCTTTCACATTGGTGTGACCTTCTTTATTGGACGCAGTCAAGCGTTGTCTTTTTACTAAAGACGTGTTGGAAAATGCTGTATTACTTTTTCTCAGAAACCAATTTTTGGACTCGTCTTTTAGCCTAAATAATAAAGGGATTTTTAGAACTTTTTGAGATCAAAAGCACCGTGGGCTATTTTCACATACTGCAGGTTTCTTAGCTGCTAACTTAGCAAAGTTGTTAATCCTCAACACGAATGACCTGAGAGCTGCATACAGTTAACCAAGCAGGCTTTTACTCCCCGAATGTAGGCTACCTCTGCATAAAACTCCTCAACATATCTCCAAAACATGTTTTTCGACCCTTCAAAGTGCATAACCTTCCAAACCCAACGTGCACACGCATTCCTTTCAATTCCTTGGTTTCCCCGAGAAGCATACCTTATTTTACGCCAAGCTTTCTTTTCATTGTTTATGATGAGTTCTGCTCGGGTTGCCAAACATCTAGCACACAACTGCTCCTTCTGATCAACAGTAGTAGTGCGGCAAGGTTTTGGAGAAAACCCACCTAGACGATCGAATAAACGGTGGAGAATTGAACTAAGTACTCCCTAATATTTCTCGCAAGATCACCTGTCATAGGGAGAAGAGAGGTACCTATTCCCGTGTTTTACCGAATAACCTAAAAATCCTTAGTCAGACTTTCATTTTTCCCCTTGGGTGAGATTAATCGTAGCGTGTACATGGGAACACGCTATTTTACAGGTATCGATGTCTACAGGGTTCAGGTTCACTCTCGATCCAGTACGTTCCTTCGTAGATCGTAACAGCGTCGCAGGCCTCGCACACCAACCGTTAAATACAAAATCCACTTTTTCGTCGGGTTGTATATCACTCTGATCAAGCTTTGTTTTATGAATTAAACACTGAATCTTACGCCGAGATATATTAGGCCTACATCCATTTGGAGGAGAAGCTCGCTATTTTGGAATGTTCTCGATCGAGTTCCGCAGATTGGCTTAAAAGATGCTGTCCTTACGTTGGCCGTCGAAGGTATTTGAGGGCCATTGGATAAACTGAGACGTAAACAGAGGCGCAATCACGAAAAAGCATAGCTGACCGATCTTCAAAATGAAGAGATTTACATATTTGGCTTGGGACCGCTGCCCTTCGGCTCCAGCCCACCAACCTGCAGATTCGAAAACAGGCCAGATGCGAATATATAAGCTGGCACTTTACAACCACGGGGAATGCAGTCCGGAACTGTGAAAATACATTTCTGCCGTATTACAACACTTCGAACGATGTGAGTAGATGTGCTGGACGGGCCGCTGGAGAGCGCAAGGCTGATCGTGCGGACTGCGTAAGTGAGCCGCCAGAGCATCAAAACACAGAAAAGGAGTTTGTAAGTACCCACAGGACTGCTGAACATTTCTGTTAAATCGTGATTTTGGGACTTAAGTATAAGTCCCATGGGCTTGTCGTTTACTGATCTGTTTGTTTCGATTTGAAGCTACGGTCTAGAGCTCGTACAGGCATTCGCAGAACAACAGCCAGTGAACAACGGAGACGAGTTTCTGACAAAGACAACGCGCAACAAAACAGATCATTTCAACCTGAGATTTGAACTCGGTCAAGTTGTTTCTCGAGAATTTTAGTTAACCCTCCTGTCACTTGATCCAGGGGCATTGGGAGTTCTTAACGTCACAAGAGAATTCCCTACTACCTCGGAATGGGGTTGTGACGTGGGCGACTGACGACGGCAAATAAGCCAGCAGTATCTGCTCCAAGCTCCTTTGTCTTTGTCGTTAAACACTACTCGGTTAGGCCAGTATAAGTCATGCGGATGGACATGGGAATAAGAACCCGTGCTGATGGTGACCTTGAGCCAACTTCTAGAGACGGTATCTATTCCTCCGCCCCAACTTTAACCCCAACTCGGGCACAACTTATCCTAACCCTAACGCTGGCGCCCGTAACCACTATCTTCCCAATCATCCTAAACTCCCTTGAATTTAGCGCAGAGCTGGCGATCTATTCGTTACTTATGACAAATATTCTACGTATTTGATCTAAAGGCAGTTCCACCAAAGTTGGTTGCAGTCTGATGTTCGTCAATATATCGTGAAATCGTGCTCAAGTGCAAACATTGTAAAATGGATTACGTCGTCTGGTTACATGACAGCGGTATGCTTGGACGTCCCTCCACCGGTTTGCGGGTTAGATGAGACAGAAAACGTGCACCGCGGCTATGCCTCGCGGGAGGCCGAAATAAAAGTCAATTAGCAGATGTGTCTCGGAGGTCACACATTCTTCTACAAGGCTTACTACTACTACTACTACTACTACTACCACCACAATTATTATTAGTACCATTGCCAAATTGCTGTCATTACTATGAATAATTATGATAATACTATCTATTACACTACGACTCACAGCATTTACATCGAACATATGACTCCCGTTCGATAGGCTTCCTTAAATCTGTTCGAGGAAGAGATTAAAGTCCGTCAGAAATATAAGTGCCTGGGAACTCTAAACGGTCCTCAGGGAATCAAAGGCAACAAAATATTCAGTGTTCCGAATAATTCCTGCATATTTTATGTAAAGCTTTATGGAACCCAGGACTAAGAGAGACCGAGGAATTGGATAGGAATCAGAAGCTCTGATGTCCAATGTTCCACTACTTGAGTCATCAGACTAACTTTCGGCTCAACCAGTGAGGCTTCTTTGCACACAGTTAAACATCATCAACGTGCCGCTTTGAAAAAGGGTCAGTCATCAAACTTCTCGTGCCTCTTTGCTTCCCAGCCTGATTCGTCCTCGAGTGGCACACGCACCGGCGTCAGTCGTGTGCTCTCATGCAGGCGTTGGCACGCCGATCGGCCCTCTTTCCATCCTACACGTGCACAGTAAGGTCCTGTCATCCGTCTTAAGGCCTCTCCCGCCAACTTCACATAACCTGTATGGCGCGTTGCTTGCCAGCATAGATAGACACAGCCATTGGCAGGTTTCCCGCGGCTGAAGGAGCGCCAGTCATGACTGAATGACACACCACTGCGTTTCAAACTCACGAGCTCACAAGCCGAGATAAGGGGTGATTTTGTCTTCTCGGTAGGGCAGTGAATTCTGGGTCTGAAGACAATTCGCGCGGAGGGCACACAAACACACACACACACAGGTGGTCTGAAGAGCGAACACTCGCGACTCACAAGATGATGACAATGGATAGCTTATCGAACATTTCGGCCGAATTTGAGAAAATTGATATGGATCGTAATGGTTACATTACCAGACAGGAGTTGCAGAATTATGTTGACAAAAATCACATGGATCCGGACACGGTAGACGTAAGTAGATGTTCCATTTTATGTACAAAAGAGGCTCCCTTCCTCCACTCAGACGCCAAGAACCCCCTGTCAATCCCCTGATTTTTGTGTTTCTTATCGTGAACAGATCGAAAAAAACAAAATGTGAACTCATGGGTGATAATGCATGTTGAACCCGAAAGCAGCAGGCGTTGGGAAGTATGTTGTGATCTTCATATTTGTTTTGATCACGAATAGTATATGGGGTTATTAAGAAGATTTATCAAACCGAAATTAAAGAGTTTCAATCATTATGCATCCTCCTAACTAGCTCTTCCAGTGACAACGTAAGCTTTGTGCAAAGATTGACTGAACAAGCAACAAATTTCAAAGAGGCAATCTACTGCCTGGTAAAGAGAGGGCTGGTTAAGGTTTTCGAGCCGTAGGACAGGAAAAACGTTAGCCAACTTTTAACGTGATCCAGATATGCAGGGGAAGTTAATAAAATTACAACTGCGCTTGTCAGAGTTATTGCCAAACTGAGTAGTTCAGGAAAGTTCTTGCAGGACTTGCAGAGGGTAGTCCTGAGATTGATAAATCTTGTTGTTTACGATAAATAAACTATCTTTTTGCTCTAACCAGAAGGGAGGATGCACGTCTGCAGTGTATGGTGGTCAGGAAATTTCCATGTCCTCCCACTGCACAAACGGCATCAATGCTTTCTGCACTTTCAACAGGAATGCGAAAACTAATAGGACACATATTCATCGACCGTAAACAAAGAAATAGAAATCCCTTGTCCTTAAACGACATGCTCAGGAAGTGTTGCTTTTACGAAGAGCTTTTGAATTGCAGACAGGCAGAGTTACGGCCACATCGCCGTCAGTGACGGTTATCCCAAATCAGGTGACCACAATCAGCTATGCACCCAAAACACACACGTTCAGCTAAAGTCCTCCTACTTAAACATTATGGACAATTCCAGTAGTCGATCTTCCAAGGAATAAACCACGTTCACGAGCACTTTATCCTTCCGAAAATGTGAGGCTAACTGACAAATGGTGTATCAGTTTACAAACCAGGTTCAAGAAACCCAGTATCAGAAGTTTAGGCGTGTAGAGCTAAATTAAAAGCATCGAGTCCCTCTCAGACCACAGATATGCCTAAATCAAACTTGTCTTTTTCACTTCTCCATCCCAACAGAAATGGTTTCGTTGGTTTGACATGGGAAATACGGGCATCATTACGATGGAAGAGATCTGTACCACCCTTGGTATCAGCATGCGAAAGCAATACACGTGAGCAAGAAGTTTCTCTTACAGTACCATTATATTCATTTCTGATTATGCATTTTTTGTGAGTTTATGCACCTGATGCGTTCAGACAGCCAAAAGTTGAACTATCATAATTCTGACTTCTTGAAAGATTAGCAGTCAGTAGACAGATTACGCGTGCGCAGGACCAAATAACTTTTGCGCAAGACAGGGTCGAAGTGCATGGGCAACGCAAACCCCTGACTGCTGGAGACGTCATGCAGAAAACGCGATCTCCACGAAAACGTATATAGACGTACCCCTAAAGCGCTTGCTGCGTTTGAGGATGATGGCTATACAAGCTCCACAACCTTAAATGAAGACTACGATTAGTGGCCTTTCTCACGAAATGTTAACCGGAATTCGGAGTTGTGATTTCGGTTGGAAGGTATTTCGTAGACCAGTTTGCAGCATTAAGCATCACGCAGCTGAGACGCCTGAGATCTGCCAGTCAGATCAGGATGCCGACTTTTGAATGCACGCCTTTCTGGCCAAGTAGCAATAATCCTTGTTACAAACTGACTACGTAAACAGCACAAATGTTTCCACTGATTTTCTTTGGCTTCCTAAATCCAAACATATTCAATATAGAGCATGCACAAAAGAAAATCGTCCTCCATTAATTTTTTTTGTAAATTGAATCTTCATGTTTCTTTTCTTGAAAAAATGATATCTTTCAGTTCGAAATAATTCTAAGGTAAAAGAGGGAACAGGTGCCTCCCATAGTACAGGCGGCCCTGTGCTAACTTCCGAGGGATTGAGTTTTAAGACAAAGTTGGGCTTAAGTTTAGGGTCAGGACTAAGGTTAGGGCTAGCGCCAGTGCTAAGGTTAGGACACGGAGATAAATACCCCCTGAAATTGATATAAAAACAACCTGTTATTTGGGGGTTACTTATGCCTGGGCTTTGCCATTTATAATCGTAAGCTTACTTTAGACTGTTAAATGTCCACTTAAATAGCTTGTAATCGTCCTGTTAGTAATGCTCCTTGTGAAATATGCAACGCGATCTCTTTCCATGGCAACATTCGATGAGCCATGCATGCTCCTTCATTAATAACGTAGACATATGCATGATGTTCCTTAAATAAAAAAATGTGTAGCTTCTAGTTTTGGAACTCCATATGAAAGTGAGACGGCGGTTCGGGGTCAAAATTATTCGAGAATTGAATAAGCTTTCCAGAAATAAAAGACAGAATTTTCTGGGGTAGGAAATTTCAGAAAAATCTAATTCACCAAAAATGAGTATAAGAAAGAATACTTATATGTGCATCCCTTTTATGAAATATATTTGGATTTATTGGGACGTCTAACATTGATGAACAAAAGCAAACTGCTTAAGTACTCATTTATGGCGGACATGATAGTTGCAAGAGACTGAGAAGTACATTTAAAGAGCGGCATCCTGGCACCAGCGAAAAATCTTTGGGATTATGCAGTATTGCACTCAACAATATTACGACCCTGCCTAAGTAATTATTCTTAGGCTAAACCACATTTCGGAAGTTTTGTAAACGTTTCCTGAGATACGTCGCCAAGCTTTCAGTTAGTATCACTGAACCGCCAAAAGTAAATGTTCTGATTAATTTAATACGATCATACTGGTTTTATGCCGTTGTAAAGTAACGAAAACTCTCCTAAGCGCAAACCTTTTAGGTATATCAAATTATTTCCAACTTACCGAGTTTGTCTAAGCAGTGGTTATGCGCAGAAAAGCAAGATTGCTCAAGAGGCTGAATCACTCTACATGTAAGGTATGAAGGTTGTCAAATTGTATTCCATGGAATCGTACTGGGTCATAGCAGGTTATTAATCAGTGCGGAGAAAATCATAACTCCTTGAAATTGAGAAGAGAGGCCCTGTGCATTTAATGTCCGCTCAATATAGTTGCTGCATGCGCGCTCGAAAACATCAGTATACGCATTCCTTGCGCTGCATAAATATCTGCCTTTTTCTCTCTCTCTACAGACAACAAGTGGAAGAAAAGAGGAGAATGAGTGCAGTGCCGAAGCCTACCGTGCAGCAGGTCCAGCGTACTGCCCCTCCGGTAGTGTTGGCGCCTGTGCCGGAAAAGAAGCGAGGTCTCATGGATGGCGTCGACATTCTCCATCGGGGACAGGTACAACCGGGTGTCCTAGAGGAATGCATCCGCATCGTAAAGTCTTATCCTCGTAAATTTGAGCTGGAACAAGATATGGCCAAGTACCTCAAAGAACAGTTGGAACTGAAGTACAAACGGCACTGGCAGGTGGTTGTCGCCAGCTCCACCATTGGCTGTATGGTCGGACACGAGGTGGATTTGTTCATGCATTTCCGCTACGAAGCCTACCTCTATATAGTCTTTCGCACTCCAGACTACTCTACGCTGTAAGACACTGGAAGCCTGAGAGACCGTCGGTCACTTTCTCCTCAGCATCCCCTCCTCTTCCCCTGGTTCCTTTTTTTACCAATCCAACACACTTACGCAGGTTTTTTTATACTTAGCCAACCTCATGTACATACGCTTGTACAATTTTTTAAAATTTTCGCATTCGCGGTCTAGATGTTGGATGCATGAGACCCTGGTGGTGATAGTAGTAGCGCAGGCTGCACTGTTAATTGGAAGTTCTTACTTTGCCGGCAAAAGACTGAAATCTCCTTGAGCCACATTTGGCAGGTGGACGGAATAGGTTCCTGTAGGATAGTCGGAGTGTCTCCTTCTACTGGAAAGGGCCGTACCAGTACCAGATAAAACATGGACATTATTCTAATATAAGATCTCGAACGTCCATAGGTTCACTGGCAAAGGAAGCAGAAAAACGTAGAAGAACAAGAGCGTGCTTCGCCGGTCAAATTGTGTAAAATGTCTGCTAAGCATTCAATGGAAAATGCAATTTCATGGGACCCTAAGTACGTCGTCGCCTTCTTGTTGAACAGAGGCAAAGTCTTAAGTTTATTACTCCATGAGCGTTTACAGATAAAGTTACACGGCGGGAAATGTAGTAAAACATTAACTTTTTCAGGCTTTTAACAGTGGCCCATTCATTATCCGCAAGCGTACACGGTAGCCCATAGTACTGGCTGCATCGTTAATAGTAGATTAAGTAGGTATTTCGCGAAAACAGCGCTCAGTGGTGCCCGGATGAGCGTAACTACATATAGTGAAGGAGCATTTGTATTCTTGAAAATAGCGTATCAGTCTAAAGTTTATAACGAGTTTTGACAAAGCTTGGACTCTCGCTTCTGATGTTCTGAAAGGAATTTTAAGCTGATTATGAAAAGGTCGAAGATCTCGAGCGATTCAAACCCACGACAGCTAGAGCAAGACTTTGTATACAGCCATCGGAACCACGAGGCCCCGACCGGGAGCCGTGAGTTTAATTTCATTTAGGATTTAATTTCCGAACATTCTTGTCATGGAGATTGCCATTCTGCTTCATACCAAGCCTCTGTACTTCTGGAAATAACTTTAAATGTGGAAAATTAGTCGGTTTGTACGCAGTACCGAGGGCTCGTATATCCTTATCTGATATATATGTTACGTGACATAATGACAAATGCAACTTTTTTTATTGTACTAATTATAGTTTTATTAACTTAAATGGAAAAACGTCAGTACTAATAAAAGTAAGTTATACGAGGAGCCCAGAAATTCATCTCGGAATTGGTCTTACGGACTATGCGCCGAAGGCTTGTTTAACGAGATTTTTAGGGTAAGGACAGAGTTCAGACGACCCTCAGCTAGCTGAGGGGACCTCGCAGCAATGAGGCGAACGCTTAAGGAAAATCAAGAGACGCTTGTATTTAAGTGAACTATTTGCTGGATATCCGTGCACAAGACAAAGTCCCCTAAGTAGCAGGCTTGCTCTTCGATACGAAATAAGCGAGCACGGAGACGTCATCACAAGGCTGTTTGGGAAGTTGGAGGTGCGAATTCGAAGATTTAGAATAGTCTCAGCCTGATTTAAGGGAACTGTGATGCGCAAGAAAAGGAACTGGTTTACTGCGCCCACCGTGCTTATCCTAGATAGGGCAGAAACGCATTTCGGCAGGGCCTTCTAATGAAAGGAAACCGCCAGAGCACTGATTAGGAGGACTCTTGGACCACACACCAACTTCTTAGAGCGAATTCACCGTATAGGAAAAAAATGAGGGAGCCGTCCTCTGCCGGTCTCTACCAGCTGAGTTTATCAATAAATCATAGGCCGCAGTTTCACCCTCCCCCCTGGCGGTCACCTTCCAAAGACAGCATAAGACAGTTCGAATAACCACCTGTCACCAAAAAATCAAATAACGACTCAGACTCTGTTTGCAAAAAACTCCGAGTGTCTCAGATGGCCCCTCAGCGCTGCGATATTTATCTGGCGTTGCGAGCTCCAACCCAATTCCTCGGATGAACTTTTCATCCAAGGCTGATGTCAGTAAATCGATACTCCTGGTTCGGGAAATGCATGCAGTCTTTATAAGAAGTTTGCAGAATTTAAGCGGTTTCTGACGCCTGAGAACTCGCATCCTTTGGTAGCATGGGAAGCTAATCAACTGCAAGCGTAATAGACGCACAACTGGCCATCGGCGACTGTTTAACTCTTAGTCGCCAGCCCACTGTCGTCAAAGCAACGTTTAAAAGTTGCTGTTAAGGATCGAATATAAACGTTCCTCCTTCGAATCCTATGCTACTAACTCGCGGAAAAAAAGCCTTCGGATTTTATGTCCACCGCTACTGTCACCAGGCCTCGTACATGACATGGAAGTTTTGAAAACGTACAGAACCAGCAACCTGAGCCTTGAGGGAAAGCTGAAAGGCTTCAGATGACCTGCTGCAAGAGAGGCCGCAGGATGTGAACCTTGCAAGGACATGCAAATGTAGTTAATCGGTTAGATGATTTGGAGCCTGAATTGCCTTTTCAATAAATCCATACGTGCAACCCTTCGGGGTACCTACAGAAGCAATTCAAGTCTTGACAGAATACCCGAGTTGGGGAGATGATGTGTTCATGGAGGGTTGTCAGGTGCTGGAACACGCTATGCGAAAAAACCGTTGGAGTTCCACGTGCGACTCATGCAAGCAACGCCTTGGTTGCTTGAGGGATTCCGGGCGTCTCACAGGGATAGAGACCAGCCAAGAATTGGGGAATGCCTACTTCCATAATTTTGTACTCAAGGTCGCACTTCAGAACGATCGGAGCACATGATAAACCGCCCTCAGCACATATAAGTTTTTCGACATTCATTTTGGTAAACTGCTTGCTTTTTGCTACCGTATGCATGCTTGATACAGAATTCTCTACCCCTTTATTTATATTTTCAATATTAGTCATCTTCCACACACTCGTCCCTTCGTTCTTTCACATTTCAGCAGCTTTAATCCATTTTCAGAACCCCACTTTCTATTTTTGGGCCCACAGTTGTTTTGGCAGATTTGGAACAATTCATATTGGCCCAACTGTGTAAGAAGGCTTTAGTACAGCCAACGCTGTAATCATCTAAACTACGAGGCCCCACCAGACGACGCGAGTTTAATCACATTTGGGTGAAGTTGCCCGCCCAACGTATTGCAACGTCTGGAATCCACCAAATCTGATACATTAAGCTGACTGCTCAAACAGGTTTTTCTAAGTAATTCAAGTAGAATCCACCAGATGACTACCAGACTCGCGTAATTCACAAATGTTTTGGCAGATTTTGAATTAGGAAATCGTGCCTGGGCAGTCAACTTACTGTATCAAATTTGGTGGATTCCAGACAGTGCAGTAGGTTGGGCGGGTAACTTGACGCAACTGTGATTAAACTCGAGTCGTCCGGTGGGGCCTCGTAGTTCAGGTGGTTAGAGCGTTGGCTGTACTAAAGCCTTCTCCTTACTGTTGTGAGTTCGAATCCCACTGAGGCGCCGAGTTTTCCACAGTTGGGTCGATATGAAGTATTAAAAGATTATCAGTTCTTTGCTGCCCTTGGTGTGGTGGCTCTCCAGTCGCAGCGTTTTTTAGCCTCTGTGGCTCGTCCGCCCGTTAAACTTTTGCTGAGCAGGCCGGGGCCAGATTGTGTCTCATACTCGTGCAGCTGCTATCTGAACAAAGCAACGCGATGATTAACAGTCCTGTAGTTCAGAATACATCCTTTCTTTTTATTCCTGTCTAGCTTACTCCATGGTTCGCGCGGAAAAGTTTGTGAAAAACTTCAGTGAAAATGTTTGCTCGAAATATGGGATAGAAAATTTGGCCTCTGCAGTCTACACTTCTGGCCAAGACCACGAGGTCTAATAGAGAAAGGACGGTCGAAAAAACACATGCTCTACAATGCTTAACTGTACCATATACACACCTGATGACCTAAATTTTATTCGGCCCTCATCATGATTGTCAAAAAAGAATAGATTTGATGAAAAAATCAAATGAACTAAAAGTCGAAGTGACTTGCATGTGTCTAATAACAGTCTAAAATAGGTAAAATAAGGCTGCTAAAACTCAACATATAAAAACGCCATCAGAGATTGATATTTTCCGGTTACTTGTTTAATTATCTTTGGTTAATTCATCCGAATCAATTATGACAGCTACAGTGCGTGACCTATCTCATGAAATGTTGGCTGAAATTCTGAAATGCGTCTTCGATTAGGAAGGATTTCTTGGTCGCGGTGGTGATACTGATTATCGTAAGGCATACGCTTATAACATTTTGGACTTGGCAGGATGTCGGCTTTTAAATGCATTTCTGTTCAATGTCCTGTAGAGAGCGTGTTCGGTAAAAAATGACTACTTATGTAGCATGCATTTTTCCCATTGATTTTCGATGGTCTTGGAAATTCAAATATATTTTGCAGAAACCACAAACAAAAATATGCTTTCTTTTAGTCAATCAATAGAGAATCACGTCTTCTTTATATTTCATATTTAAGGAAGGAGTATAATTAGGTTTTAAAAAAGTTTCTAATTATGAGACTTTTTAAGACCGCGATATGCCCATTCACATAGCATCGTACCTGGCCGTTGACCACTGCTCCTCATGAAATGTACAACATGGTCCGCATCCATTGCAAAATTTTATGGACCCTGTATAATATCTCTTTAATGACATAGAAAAATATGGGATTTTCTTTACGCGGAACGCATGCACCTTGTAGAGTTTAATCACTAAGCGCTAATGCACCGAATGATCAGACTCCAAATTTTTCGGCAATTAGAAAACTTGTTTAAAACCTAATTATACTCCTTTCTTAAGTATAAAATATAAAGAAGACGTGATTCTCTATTGATTGACTAAAAGAAAGCATATTTTTGTTTGTGGTTTCTGCAAAATATATTTGAATTTCCAAGACCATCGAAAATCAATGGGAAAAATGCATGCTACATAAGTAGTCATTTTTTACCGAACACGCTCTCTACAGGACATTGAACA